TTGTGAAAGAATGATTATCAGTTCCACACACAGAGATATATAAATTCTACATTTATTTAAATGAGAGAAAAAAACTTCACTGGTATCGAATCGGTATCGGCATCGGTATCGGAGGCAAAAAAGTCGGATCGGAGCATCCCTAATTTTGGGAGGAGTAAAATTTACATATGTGGTTTCAAAAACCAGATGCATTTACACTTGTCCAGTTTTGTCTGGAATGCGGCCCAGACCACCTCCTGAAGTGTTTGAATGCGTTTCGGAGGGCATTTACGCCTGGTCTTTTCACGATCGGATAGCTATCCGATCAGACAAAATGCATGAAGTGACCAGGTGTAAACAGCCCTGTGTGTCAAAACAACTAAGTGTGTCATTATGTGATAATTAATAATAATTGATGTTTTGTTGAAAGGTTCTTTTGAAGTCACCATTATGGTTATTAGTTGAATATTTAACCTTTAACTTTGAAGGTGACAATTATCATGAAGTGACCCAATTTATTGATATTAGTGTGTTGTGCCATTAATATACTTCAATTTTGCATTACCAACTACAGTACGAAATCCAACAGCAATCAGTTATTCTGAAAGATTTAAAATATGTTCTGCATAAAACATTTTGGACAATTGTATAATTTAGGCACACAGACATCAACAGTCACGTCAATTAAAACATCAGTGAAAATGCTTTTGGAAAGATGTATTTTGTAGCATCTTTGAGGTGTGATGGTTTGCAAAATAAATACAAATTTAACTCAAGGGTCAAGTGCTCAACTTACCCTAACCCACACTAATTAACATAATGGTGAGGTGTTTAATCATCCTCTGCTGCAATCTTGAAAGTAGTGCTGGGTAGATTACTTACAAATTTTAGTCTGTTACTGATTGCAAACTACATGATGAAAACTGTAGTTAGTAATGTAATCTAAATTATTCATTTTAGGTAATGTATTCTGACTACTTTTGGGTTACTTTTAGATTATTTTGACTTCACTTGTTTATAAATGTAAGTAGGGTTAAATTTCAGAGGGACACTGGACTTCAAAGGGATTTGACCAGCAAATAAATAAATTAGGAATTCCTGCATCACATGAACAATCATCAATAAACATGAAAACAACAATGACATGGTCAAAGTCTTCCAGGTTTTAAATATTTTTGCCAGTTATACATCGGCAGTGTTTAGTAACTTGCTTAATTATTCAACACATACATGGTATCAGGGGCGGACTGGGACAAAAATTCAGCCCTGGCACTGTGGCCACACCGGCCCACATTACCACACCGACACAGCCCCACCCACGGACACACACATTCACTACTTACATTTGTGTACAGATGGTGAAATAATATAAGCAGTACCATATATGTAACAGATATTTAAACATTTAATTTATGTGTCTGGCAAACAATGCTTACTACTTTTTAAAGAGCACTAAATTTATACATACAGTTAAAACAAAAGAAAAAGAATCTGAGGATGTTGTAGAGTCTGTGTGCTGTCTGTTTATGCCATTTGTCTGCTGTTACTGTCATTCTCTACAGTATGTTGTTCTTTGTTGTCACTGTCTGTCTGTTGGGTTTTTCCTACCTCTACCATACTCCTCCCTGTCTCTGCTTGGCCTACTGTAGCATCCTTCCTCACAGCACTGGTGTTGGAAAACCAGGGGTCTCTGGCTGTACTGATTCCAGCAACATCCTAGTTAATGAACACAGTATAGGATGTAAACATTACAGCAAAATATTTTCTCACTGACTGCTCTCAACATTGGAATACACATGAATACAAACAAGTAATAATAGCAAAAAGAGGTAATAGAATATATAGCAAAATCTATAAATAGTAGCAGCAGTAAATCCTTTTTGATATACAATTATTTGTGAATTAAAGTATGCTGAAGTGTTGCTAGTATGTGCTGCATGTGCATTTGTGTGTGTGTGTGTGTGTGTGTGTGTGATGTAAAGTGCGTGTGTGAGTGTGATCTCTCTCTCTCTCTCTGTGTGTGACACAGGCTCCTCCTATCCTAAGAGTTAATTAATAGTTAATTAGATCCACATTATTAAGAAACTGGCAGCATCTGTATCAGGGTGTGTCTCTCTCATTGTGTCTTCCTACCTCCATGACACTTGACTCTGCAGTCTACCCTACCTAAGGATTAATTGCATACTGCAAACGCATGTACTGTATGCATGCTCAATGTTTTATTTAAATATATGACTATCTACATATTCAAAGTAAAGTTCACTACAAATGTCTATAGTAC